CAACCCCCGAATTTCGGACGTCTCAGGCTATATTTATCAATGCTGTCTATGGCAGCCTATTCTGCAGCCACACATACCAAAGAACAAAGAGCGAAACCCATGATCTTACAGTTTCTCTGGAGAAAACAAAATCTCACAGACATACAAGGCTATCACATATAGCTGTAAGACAAATTCATCGAAATTGCAAGCAAGCCCTTCAAGTCTATTAGAAGTCATCCAGTCTAAAAACCATGTCAAAAACAAGCTATATTCAAATGACTGTAACAGTTTGCACCCTTACAGGTAGGCTTACGTATCCCAGTCCTGGGAGTACATACCGGAGCAATAAGTCGTGTGGTAGATGTACGTACATTCTTCAACGGTGACATACATGTACATGTACATATACATGTACTTCTCCATGACGCACGTCGTTCTTGGGCTTTACAGTCACTTCTCCCCACTTCCAATTTGCCCCTGACCACTTTGCTCCAGACCGCTTTAACCCTAAACACATGGGTGCAGTGTCCCAATTCAAGGAAAATTCTCCGCCAGGCCAAGGCGCACAAAAAGTATCCCCACAGATTCTTTCGAAAAGAGGGGTCAGTTTGGGCCAAGAAATGGTGGGACTGTGTCAGTATGGCCCACAATCATCTCTGTAGATTCAGGGGCATCCATCTGGGGGCAATGCAGACACAAATGTGATTGGAAATTTGTCAGAAGAGCCCCAGGAAGGTGAGGGATGTCATTTGAAAAATGGCCGCTGAGAAGACTTGGAAACCTTCACTTTTGGGAAGGTGAGTTTGTTTTTTGCGGATAATTAAAAAAATCATTTGTTAACCTACTAAACATTGAATATCAAATGAAATTTGATGGACATTGTTTTTGTTTGAGAGGCCTCAGGGACTTCAGTTGCCCTGCCATGGGGCTCCAAACTAAGTTGATTTTACACTGTTTTCAATGGAGCTTGAATTAGTTCAGTGCACCCATATTGCCCTTTGCCACTTCGCCCCATCGTCATATCCCCAATTCGCCCCATTTACACTTCCTCCTTTCGCCACTTTGCCAAAGTAAACTTTTTATAATCTTTCAACTTTAACCTTGGCAAAGGCCGCAGCGTCGAGACACACGGATGTCATCGCAATAAAAAAGAGAATATAAAGATGTGCATTCTGTTTGGAAACTGGTTCCAAAATTAAAATAAGGACTCAAACAATGAAATATCTTAAATGATTAAAATAGAAGAGTGACCTACCAGGAGATCATAGAATTAAAACTACTGCAGGGGAAACTTTGATGAAGGAATGATACTTTTTTTTATTCGTTAAATTTTATGACTCAATGGATTATTGCTTCCACGCTACCTATAAAAGGGAAACTTACTGGTTATTCAGTAGTTTCCAACCAATCGAGCAGTGTTGGGCCAAGCAGGGCAAAATGGGAATGGGTTCAACGACATTTTGTATTTCTTTGTACTTTGGAGAGAGTAATCTATCGTTGAAAGCTTACTATACTTGTACATGTGTCCAACATGCATTTTTCATGCTTTGCTATAGATAGTGTTTTTTCAAGAATTAGTTTACGCTGAACATAAGAGATCCAGAGGATATATGGACAGTTATAACAAGTTTTGAATTATTAAGATACCTTGGTTTATTTCTTTCATTTGTTGACATCTTGATTTGTGAACATTTTAATAGTTGCAAATTAGAGATTAGATATTTAAAACTAGACCTTAATAACTCAGCTTGCTTGGTTTAACTCGGAATTTTCCATGAATTGCAGTTTTTCTATTAGTGCCTTCTGCTTCAATACATTACAAACTGTCTCAATCTAGGTGAGCAAGTACACATCGCTAGAGTAGTGTCACGTGACCCAGCGTTTGTGCGCAATAGTCGACTAGGTTGCGAACAAACAATCAGTTGGGCTTAATACGTTTGAGACATATCCATTGTCACAGTCTGAAACTCTTTAAGGCACGTATATGTGCACCAGAGGCGGTCACAGAGACAAGTATGACGAGGATGGGAAAGTGCTTAGTGCAGAGTGACCCAGGTCTTATTCGTATTACCGTTTAAAGTACGTGAATTAGATATTAAAACAGGATCACTATTTTTGTAAAGTTTCCAGTCCATGCTACACGTTTAAACAATACAATGACATTAACGACAATGAACTTATATGCCTCGGTGACAGTAATGACAAAACCTGATGCAACGTACATGCACATCATAAATGATAATGAACTTAGAGTTCACAGTAATACAGCTACCCTAACTTATCCAAACCATAAAGTTTACTATGACAAACGTTACAGTGAGCGGACTATACCGTTTATCCCGTTTTTGGCGTTTTTTAAACAGTAAAGTGTTTGACATTGAACTAAATAAGCACGTAAAATTCAAACAATACATTTCGAATTCTGTTCAATCCCCTCCCCCACAAAGTTACTTTTAGTGGGAAATCATCACTTTCTTTTTGGTAAAACAATCCCGTAAAGATTATCAAATTTAAAGCAACTCTCATCGCCATCTTGAGAGCTTTTCGTGGTTTGAAGCACCTGCATTAATGTATTTAAGCTATATTTAAACTATACATCTGTGACAATAGACATTTTGTAAAGTGTCAAACAGATAACGTTCAGTAATTTGTTGATAGTATTTCAATCTCCTCTGTCATTTTGTTTATTACTGTGGCGGCTTGCTCCCCGGACCTAACCTAAGTTTGAGGGGTCTCTCAATACTTTGTATTTGTGAATCTTCATTACAACCTGTATTACGTCGGTCTTGAGGAGAGGCTATTAGCAATGGACAGCTAATGTCCCACTGCTTCACTAGATCAGGAAAGCACTGACCAATGTCATCTTGCTCAGATCCAATATGTAACGTATACAAAACAATGTCGCACCACAGGAACGCTACCGCAATGCACGTCCCATGTTGCCTAACACGAGATGAATTACATACAAACGCTGGACCCTAGCCGCACTTGCACACCCCAACGTTAGACTGCCTAAACAACATCGCACGGCATAGCCCAGTGTCACCTCAGTGATAAGTACAGTCCTCATGCACAAAACACCGCGGCACCGTGGGCCCATCCCAAATCTACTGCAATACATCCGCAAGTGAACGGCTAGACTCTAACCTATGAAATACTAACACGTATGTTTGGTCCCCGTTGACTGGTTATGCATTCAGTAGTGAAATTGCGCATGTGCAATAGTGACATATCCTCGTTTGCCAGAAAACAATTATTCTGACGACGAATATCTGAGCAATTTGGATGCAATTGGGTCCGAAAGTGGACACTATTTGAGCCATTTTGTAGAGGGATGGTTTTTCAAAATGGCTACTTTTCTGGACAGGGACATTTTCTTCATTTTAGGGGTGGTCTGCTTTTGGTGTAAATTTCTCAAAAATTCTTTGGTTAACCCAACGAAAATTGAAAGGAGAATAAAAGGGGACATGTGGAACATAATTTTTCTGTGCAATCTGAACACCTGTGAGAGTTGTATTTTTAAAATATTTGTGAAGTATGGGGATTTACCAATGCTGTCTACGGGAATTTATTTGTAGTGGTGCACCCCATAGCAACACACACCACAGCGAGAGCACCCAGAACCTACGTCTTGACTGACACTTGCAAGAACTACAAAGCAAACTCCGCCCACATTACGCACTCGCATTGATCACAAACCAAGGAACTTACTACATACAGAGCGCGCTACGCTCCGCCCATCCTGCATACGGTAATTAAAAGCACGTACATACTACACAAGTAATGCAATCCTCATTATGCAAAAATAAACTTAAGAAAGTTCGTACATTTTCCGCTACACTACGCTGCTATTCTAATTTAGTAATCTTCATTGTCAACTGAATAATTTGTAGTTTAATATTCATAAAAGTTTAGTCTCGTCTATTGAGACCAATACATCTGGTTTTGTTGATGAATCCAAACCCTGGGGTTCAAGGACATCCTGTTTCAGTGGGACACAATGTGATCTCGTGTACTGCAATCCCACTGCCATGGCAACCAATGCGATTCCAATGCTATGGGCCTGTTGTCATGGAATCCCATTGGTCCCGTTCAGTCCGACCCAACGGTAATTTTCCCTGGGAAAGGTCGTGAAAAAAAAGTAATCTCGTTCGCTTGAGCGGGGTAACGAATTAGAACGAAATTAATTTCTCACTGTGAAATATCACTCAGCATCGCCCATGTGCTCTGAGCTTGGAGTCTCAGGTATATAAGTCTTCACTACCAATTTGTCATAAATTCTTCCCTAGACATGTATTTCGAGAATTTGCATTAAGCTGTGTCTGAAACACTGATATAAATTGTTCGTGCGAATACTTGTTCAAATAGCTTAGTTATTGTATTTTTCTCCTTCACACAGACCTTGTCTGTGTCTAAACGCCATCTTGAAGCTTCTAAGAAACAAGCACTATTCAGCGACAAAAAGTACAAAATCTGACATGCCCTGGTTCTGGAAATTCTATATTTGCCCTAAAAATATTTTTGGTGATGATCCCTCCCGCAACAGCCACACACGGCAAAGCATGTAACTTGATGACTGGAGTTCGAGAGTTTGTCCTCTTTTTTCAGTTTAGATGGAAACGTCTGAATAAATAGCCTCCGAGCAGAGTCTAAAAATGGCTTTCCAATCCATCAGTCCTGTTCCATGTTGTCCTTTCTCAAATTGTAAGTTGCTAACTTATGAATGACTTCTATTGCACTTAATTCTAGGCAAAATCTGAAATAATTGACTGACCTATGACCGTTTCCTTGATTTTGTACACGGTGGGCAAGCAGCGCATATGATATCCTGCTGGCATGGCATCCCACGAAATACAGGACACGAGACGATCCTAAGCAAATGATTCCCCTTTAACGCATTTTGGGCTGTTTACAATTATGTTTATGAGAAACAAAAAACATGATAATTGGCCAGTGTTCAAATCTGTAAGCCGACAAGTTGCAAAACTTGCATGGTGGCCAGCCAGTCCGATTATTGGCTAATTATAGTCAAAGGTGAGGTCAGTACCACGCAGTTTCTCCTCGATGTGGGCGTCCATCACCTCGTTCTGAGCCACAGTGAAATGGGACTTCCAATTCCCGACCACACCTGAAAAGTAAAATGCACAACAGGAGAAATTATTACTCAGTGGATATTTCAACCCTCTGCCAATCTTACTGTTCTCTATAATACTAACGAGATAGCACGTGCCAATATTGCCGTGCATTGATATGATACGATAGCTCATCCCTTCCTGTCGGCTGCAAATGGATCTTATCCATGTCAGTCGTAATAATTCAAGATCAAGGCACCAAATGACCTGTGCTTTTCCGCAAAGATGGTTGCCTCATCATTACTGAGTGGCGGGCTATCCAAGTTTTTGAATGATATTGGCTGAATAATTTGTGGATTATATACGGGTATAGAATTATTTTCTTTAATTTGAGTAAATCTGGTAGAAATAAAATTACTTCAAAGGGTCTTTAAGTGTCCAAAGACATCGATTTTGAGTCTTCCCTTGAGGTTCTTTTTTTAGCTTAATGCCGCATTGTGAGTCCTGACTCCAACGATGACGCCTAATGGCGTCCACCCACAGGTCCCCACGTGCAATAAATTCGGCATGTCCAACGTCAAGCTGCTTTTAATTCGTCGAATGGTAATTAATTAACCGATGGTTTACCTATTTACCTTTCCTCATGAAGGCGCCTTGGGACTCATCGTGACGGAGCATGCTATCAGGGTTGGCCATAGGGTTATTTTTCATGTTCGCGAAACTGCAGTGCTCTGTTATGGCATCCAGTGTCTCAGCTGATAGATTCTTGCCCAAGAACTTACTGATTTTCTCAACGTAGCCTCTCGGATCCTACCTCGCAGATAAAGAAAAAGCATAGAGTGATGAACCTATTGTTTATATTAGGAATTTAAAACATGAATTGAGAATAATCCACTTAGCTTTTGTCAACGGAAGCGTATCCCACAGAGGAGGATCAGGGAAAGATAGACTTCTGAATTGGGAACCCAATTTTTGCATATACAAAATTTATCCGTGATTGAAAAAAATATTCTTATTTTAACACAACATTTTTTAACGGTTGAAACAGATTTTTGCCAGCTGCCCTGAACCATTCGTCTTTGACAGGACATGTCATAAATTTAATCAAATAATACATTTTTTTGAAACAACAAAATGACCAAATCTAGGGGTCGACTTGGCGGTCTTCCAGTCCTTTGACAGTATACAAGTAGCCCGCTTTTGGAGAAGATGGGGCAAATCTAGCCCAAACGTGATAATTCATCCTTGCAGAACTGATTTTCGAATACACAACTTCCTGGCGAAATATTCGGCTATCCATTGGGCATGTACAACACATGTGGATCAATCGACACCACACCCCGGCACTTCTAACACCGACACATGATTCACTGACACTTGGGAAAACTGCAGGGACCCAAGAATGTTTAGGCCTGATCAGCCTCAGGTTGAAATTTCCTTTTCTTTTTAAACTGTTTATGTTCAACACCTCTAAACTTCTTGTAAGGTATCAAAACACCCGTCTCTTCTCATTCACACTTTTCCCATTTTCAATCACTCACTTGCTTCATGTCTTCATATTTCAGCACAAGAATGTTTGGGTCGTTGCGTTTCTCCCAGAAGAACAAATAATGATCCCACCACGGTCCGTAAGAAACTGAGAGATGCAAAATAAGAGAAGAAATTCAATGCAGCTTCAGAGAGATTGAGCTTCGAGAAATATATCCTAGCTCCACGTGGACAAAAAAAAAAGTAATCATTTGGGGATTATTTGTAAATATAGCAAGCCTGGAAGCAGACTGTCTCAATCAAAATTAAGATTATATCTAAAGACTCCTCTCATACTGTCTGTGGCACTACATTAACACCAAAGGTTGAGTTTGCAGAATCAACCCTTGGTTGGTGTAAGGTTTTCCCTTACATCTACCTGTATATGTTCCGTTCCATTTAAGTGGGCTACATTTTCATTTAACATTTAGTCGTCTAGTACTGATTATCCAGAGTTTTTATAACTGCATAGAGATTTTTCAGCACTGTGAGAATTATTCTTTTACTTGGATATTGTTTACCAGCGGCAAATAAAAGCCTGTGATATTGAGGGAGAGAGGGCGCTATAGGTGCATTGATTTTAGGCCTGTGTTGTGCTGCTCTTAGCGTGCATTGTTGTTTGTTAAGCTCGGTCGTTTTCTGCTCGACGTTTGATTTGTTTTGGTCGGTGATTGTGTTTTAGTGACTAATCTGTGTTCGTGTCTTTACTGTAATTTTTTCCTTTTGGCTTTTCAAAAGGGTGCTTCCCGCTCGCATCTAGCAAGAATTGGCACTTTGGGTTTGAACTTTTGATGGCGTTTTTTGTACTTTTTTATTTATTTTTTCATATTTTTCCCCAGCATCAAGTTTTACCGATAATGTTCATTCTCTCTTCCAAGCCTACAGGAAATTACATTGGACATCTTATGAATTCCTGTATGAAAGGTTGTTACGACAAAGTTATGCATTATAAAACTACGGCAACATCAAACAAAACCCCTGCAATATCGACTTCCTTCTTTTTGCACCGTTTTCCCAATTTTCCCTTTCCTTTTGCTTCCTGAATTCCTACCGTCCATACAGTGTGGTTTGATTTACCTTTCGCGAGAATTTCTAAAGCTGATGCCATAAACTTACACTTCCACTAAAAAAAATTCCTCTTTCACCTCACCCCAAATAAAAAAGCAACACCAGGGACAAATAAACACACTTCCAGCAAAACACAAAAGCTAAACAAAAACAACCCCCCCCCCAAGTGTTACCGTCTCCAGTAAGCATTTTATTCAGGAATTCCTCGAAAGTGTCATTCCGCAACTTTGGTGACGGGTTGATCATTTTCGCAAAGTAGAAATAGGACACTGTCAGGTCCTTAGGATTGCGCATGACGTAGACAATCTTGGGGCGTCTCTCCCAGATCTGGGGAGGCAGGAGCTGGCTGGGTAGATGGGTTTTGAGGACCCGTGGGGAAGGCATCTCCTCGGCGATTTCGTAACAAGCTGGCAGCTACGGGTAAGATAAAATTAATATGTCTTTCGGTTATTACAAAGGACTTTGCACACTTATATCAGCAGCTGGATCCAAACACACTCATATCCCTGTACCCAGCCCTCATGCAATTACCGATAATAAATTTAAAATCAAGGCAGTGAAGAGCTGCATGGCAACCCCCCCCCCCGACATGTTGTCGTTTTCTACAGGAATTAAAAGTGCTGGCATTTTAGAAAGGGTACCACCAATGTTTTGTAGGCGGGGGTTCCTTTTCGGATGGAAAAAAAATTGTCTAGCCTCAATCCCCGATCCAAGACCTGGATACACGGGTATACCGCCTGTTTAATAGCAGGCCACCAGTTAATGTGCTTCGTTTGTATAGCTGTTAAAGCGGAACTATTGCCAGTCATTTATCAAAGTCTTGTTTTACATCTAAATGATATTCGCCCATTCAATGTGCTCTTCGATTTGTTTAAATGATCAAATGCAAACGGTTTCAAAACGTGTAATACGGGCGATTCACAATAATGCGCCTCCAAGAGTTTGCAACACGTTGGCCAATCAAAACGCGCGAAATTTGTCCACCATTTCCAAACGCGCATGGGGTCGACAAATTTCGCGCACTGTGATTGGCTAACGTGCACTATTGTGAAATGGTCGTATTGAAGGAACAACACGACAAATGAGTTTAAAGAGGCAAAAGAACATCCAAGGAATTAAGAATCCAGAAACAAACTGGGGATGGGGCACTGGTTTGGGGGGGCCACAACCTTTGGAAATATTTTGTATGAAAACTTTTATGGTCATTGTGGCGGGTGAGGCTACATTTTGTTGCAATTTACACACTTTTTGAAGGAACGGGGAAAAACAAACAAAACATGGTCTTTCTTTCATTATTTTTCAAACAATTGGCGCCTTTCTGGGCACCTGCCCCCCTCCCCCATCCGTCCTTGCTTATGTTTAATATCATTGAGTGGTTTTGCTCTACAAAAAGGGATATTGCTCAACAGGTATTATGAGCACTTGAGTGATATTAAACAATCAGGAAAAATCTGTGCGTCATGGAATTGCCTTGTTAAAGCGGATCATGCATCCTAATTCTCGTAATCTATTCTGTGTAAAATTGACGTAGCCTAGACGCTTCAAATTACAAACAGTAAACTCTTACCGACGAGTTACGTTTTAGCTTTATTGCAGTGAAAAGCCAGTACATTGAAAACAGTAGTCTGGATAAGTTTTATTTTTTTGCGATATACGTGTAGTTTGTTTTACTTCTTAGAGGATATATTAGCCATTGCACTGCCTACATTTTTTGTTTTCCTAATAAACGCTGGAAGGTCCATCTCCGGGAAGAGGACACGGAATGCTGTGTGTTTCTTGTTGACTTCCTCGATGTTCCCGTCATACATCACGCAGGACATAATCTCCTGGGTCCAGGTTGTACCTGTCGGAGTATAAACACTACGTTATACCGCCTGCTAAATAGACTTATAATGGCGTTCCTTTTTGTTTTACACGTGTGCTCTTCAATGCCGTGGGTAGGACACGATCCATTCCCCCAGGAAAGCGATGTTGTTATGTCGTTTGGTCTGTACCCAATTGGCGAATTAAATATGCCATCGAATGGATTTCGCTAGTTTAAATTTCTCGCCATGCATTCTCCGAATTAACATGTAAATACCGCATAGCAGCCTCGTCACTTCTTCTGCATCCAACCCAATGTTCAAGGGACCGAACGGCTGCATCAGTAAGCTTGTACGCACGTGCATGCACCAGAGAGGCCGGCCACATTGCCACCCACTATAAGCCTCGAACTGCACCAAGAGAGGCCCCTTTGGTAGGAACTGAGCTTCGCTGGTTCAGGAACGACTATGAAATGCACGCGTTAGGCCTACGGTGGCGTTGCTACCAACAAAATGAACGGTCCCACCCAACATGGCTCTTTTCTCTCCCGAGGACGGCCAGAGCACACTGGCCGAAACGTCGAATGTATACTCATTGCTTCTTCTAAGAACCACACCTTGTCCCAAAAAGATTGATTCCATGGTGTACCCGCAAACCATTTCTCATGGCTCTTTTCAACCCATGATAGGATGGGATAATCCCTTGACATTAGACTGTACGTAGTGTGAGGGCTGAAAGTGTCTAGGGATACCCGGCGGCACTTGCAGTCCACTGTATGTCTAGGGATTAGCGCTTACTGCCCCTTGATTACTTCAAGACCTCCTGGTGGGCCAGTCAGTATTTTACCATGACTCCACGCACTATGACTCATAATCAATTTTTATCATGGATAATTCATCCTGTTGTGCAATAATTTCATAGAAAAGGTCAACTGGTGCCATATTTGTTTGACCCTATGATATTTCATATACATGTTTATCCCATACCAAAGGTCACACTAGACGTTCTGACCCTATACTATCCTTTTCTTCCCTGGGTCATGTCTTTTCAACCATTTTCAAACCTATTCATATCAATAAGATCATATTATTATGCTTATATGCATATTCATGAGACCTTTTGCTTTTGGGGGGCAAAGGTCAAATGTACCAGACAGTTCTCGCACCACTCAGAGCAATGTAGGTAAATTTATGCGTTACGCAAGCGGTGGTTATCAATTTGATATTTTTTTCTTGTTCTTCCTCATTGCTGAAAATATTCACCTTATTTGCTCATCAAGATAACCAATCATCAAGGTAACGAATGATAACCAATGATAACCAACGATTGAAATATATCACCAAAAGACACGGGATCGGTGGTACTTAGTAAGAAGATAAATGTCCACACTGTGATTGTACCAAGGCCACACCTTTATCATATAGCCGACACTTTGCCCGTGTCAAAGATTCCATAAACACAAAAGAGGGTAGTCCCCCTATGCCCAAATCTTCCGTCATATGCTTTTTTCCAACAATTGTTACACATATGAACAAATTCGATCAAGGACCACTAATTAACTAGTGGTTAGTTGGTGACGTACCTAGCGCATGTGTAGTGAAATTTAAGTGCAAACAGGCCTTGTCAACCGTTGGCAGATCATTAGGCCAAAGGGGGGAAAAAGTGCCCGCAGGAAGAGCGGTGTAGCAAAGATAAAATGTTTCTTTTACTAATGACATACTCTTTCTCTGGCACTTTTCTTTTGGTATTTTCTGAATTTTGCTATTAAAAAGGATTTATGGCAAGCAGTGATGCGACCGGCCTCGATCGCGAATAGACTAGTCCAACTATCGTCAACCAGCGTGCGTTCGACCTGAGTTAGTCGAACTCTGGTTAAAATGTTCCTTGATTGAACGTTCCTTATGTCGTAACTCGCTCTAAAGACGGAGGCTTTGTATGGTAGCATCTTAAGGGGAAGTTCTTTTTTTCAAAAGAGAATTTTACAGTGGATCAAACAAACTGCCCTGCAAGATGGATATCATGTAAAGCTTCGATACACAGCTCTGCAAGTTAAAACAACAGTTCCATCACTGTATCTAAACAGGAAAAGACAGCTTAGTTTTACCTGCTTTGGGGTAAGTTACCACCCACACGTCATCTTGTCTGATATCCCAACGCTTAAAAGCATCGACAGCATCAGCAGCTTGCGGGGGTAGCTTGATTCCTTCCACCTTGATTTCTTTTCGGGGTTGCTCTGCCAGCTTTCGCACCACAAAATCGTAAAAGGACTTCCACAGTGCCTGATCTAAAAAGAGATTTTTGTACGAATTCAATCTAAAAATTGGCAAATCAGGGTTGGGTCAACTTGTGAAGGAAACCGTGTTCGTAGTCACAGTTTCATTAAACATAGTGGATTACAGTTTTTCCTTTGCAAAATATCTTTCTTTTGCCTATGAGACGCTTTATTTAAAGCATGGTAGTAAGGTCTTTTTTGGCTAGGTTAAGAAGAAATTACTACTCTCGAAAGTCTTCTCTTCAAATTGGACAGACAGTCTTTCTTGACAAAAATGAGGTAAAACTATGAAACACTTAAATGTAAAAAGCACATTGCACAATGAACACGGCACTTACACTCTTCAAAGGTGACGTATTTTTCCATCGCGCAACTCAAAAAAGTAAATTGGGGGAAAGGATGTAAAGGCTTCAAAATATCTGCAAAGGGAAAACAAACAAAATAATAAACTAAGCAAACAATCCATCCGACATAACACAGTCACATTTCCTTGTTAGGTTTTCGAGTTGATTCTTTTCTGTTTTATGGTAGGCTTTCCTTAATTCTTCGGTAAATTTATACAAACACAGGTTATTTGTGTAGCGGATATTGTGTATATTACATGTACCAATCATTTAATATTCGTTTTTTGTGGGGGGTTCCATTCAATTATCCTCATAATCTTGTTGAAAATTTAATCTACTTCAATTTCTTGTAGTTTTAGAACACTGACAATTTTTTGTTGAAGATCCCTTAGCCCTAGTCATGATCCCTAATGACTTTGCCTCCTGTTCCACATTCCTTTCTGGCCTGGGTGGCTGTACCTATAGCAAAATTCCTTTACTCTTGCTGACCACATGTTCCCCTATGGGGTACTCCCCTTCAAGGCCTCTGCGTGTGCTTAACCACAGTTGCCACAGTTTCTCCATTCTGTTGCCGGACATCGAGCTAGACACAATGCAGCATTACTTTATGTAGTTACTCTGATACTTCTATGCTTTATCCATCCACGTGTTCTTTATACTGTACCCAACTAAATTTGTGCTAGGCAACATCCCAGCGTAGTGAGTAGAATTTCTCTTAATTATTTTTCATATGGCTTAATTACTAATTGTGTACTCTTTCGAATATTTCGGGTGCCACATTTTGCAAGGGAATAGTAAATGCCAAACTTCATTGTCAATTTTTAAGCTAAGCAGATATGCAAGACAGACAAGAAGTGCCTCGTGAACACAATCATTCCGTGACTTCGGTAACTTATTTTAGTAAGTATTGATTTTCACAATACTCATTGGGAGTAAGGCCTATATATCCCGTCGTATGAGACGATGAAGCATGGTGTCTAGCCGCCGGTCGGTTCTCACAAAGTGTGATGTAGTCTTCCGAAGAGATGAAAAAACCAGCCTATACTGCAGAGCGACAGTCTGAAAGGTCTTTTACAGAAGTCTCCCATTAGCCAGCTGGAATTTGGAATGCCCAAAGATCACGCTTTAGTGTATCTTTGAAACGAAGTCTGGGACGACCGCGTGGACGGGGTGCATTGGCCAACTCTCCATAGAAGATGTCGTTAGGGACTCGGCCCTCGTCCAGTCTGCACACATGTCCGGCCCATCGGAGGCGTCAAGCAGACAGCACTGTAAACTTATCAATAACGCCAGTGAGCTCAAGGATGGCGGAGTTTGAGACTCAATCTTACTAGGATATACCGAGGATCGAACGTAGGCAGTGAAAATGAAAGGTATTCAGACGACACTCCTGGCGGTGGTGGTTTGTTGAAAGGGCACGGTTGTCCCACACAAGTGCACGAAGCCGGCAAAAGGTGGTTGCCTAGCTCAGCATCAAAGGAGTTTTTGTTGGTGATGGTGGATCCGAGATAGGGCAACATGCCGACCACTTTATGGGCTGTACCATGGATGGTGATGGTAGGTGGGGCTGCGTCACCACTACGGTCTTATCAAGATTGATCTTCATACCTAACTCCGAACAAGCCACTGCAAATGAAGTGCAGAGAAAGTGATTTGACATCCATTGCAATCTCGATGTCGTTTTCTGTTGTTGAAATTCCAGCTACTGGGGATTGTTCCTTTCTTTTGTTTTCATTTCCTTTCCTGCTCGTATTTTTCGGGCAGACCTGTCTGACTAGAGTAAGTGATAAATCAAACATTCACATTTAAGAAAAGGAGCGGCAGATACAACGCATTTGTGGCAATTTTGGGGGTAACCCAAGAAGATATGGGACGTATTTTTTGTGAGACTTTGTCTACTCTGCAGTTGAAAGCCGACGAAATTTGTTGTTATTACAAACGAAAATGTATTTCCATCATTAAAATAGGAAGGTGATTGCCACCTCTGGATCTCTTACTATTGAATCTCCGATAATAAACATTATACGCCTTAGAGCTTTTATACTGAGATCACTGAGAAGAAATGGACCCAAGACGGTTGGGATAGGTTTCACTATCGAAAGTTTCAGGAAATAAATGAAAATAAATCAGTATCAATCCTGTAGCTCACTGTATTCAAACCTAGAAAATTGCCCTGAGGGTTCTGCGCCCAGGGACACGAAAAAAGTGTGGTGAGGGAAAAATTCCAAAAGTTATGCGGTGTTGACCAAGCATTCAGGCGCACGGACTCCTGAAATTCACTACGAATCGCAGTTACCGGCTTCCATATAGGACTCTTCTGGGATCTCAGGGTTCCCGGCCCACCGCACTTCCTCCCTGCCCATCCATTTAACCCCCGAA